TGGGCTGTGTCTGCAGTGTTCAGTCTGTTCAGTCAACCAACAGCAAACAAACTCGGTGGGCTGTGTCTGTAGTGTTCAGTCAACCAACACAGCAAACACACTCAGTGGGCTGTGTCTGCAGTGTTCAGTCAACCAACACAGGAAACACACTCGGTGGGCTGTGTCTGCAGTGTTCAGTCTGTTCAGTCAACCAACACAGCAAACACACTCGGTGGGCTGTGTCTGCAGTGTTCAGTCTGTTCAGTCAACCAGGACAGCAAACACACTAGGTTGGCTGTGTCTGCAGTGTTCAGACTGTTCAGTCAACCAACACAGCAAACACACTCGGTGGGCTGTGTCTGCAGTGTTCAGTTTGTTCAGTCAACCAACACAGCGAACACACTCGGTGGGCTGTGTCTGTAGTGTTCAGTCAACCAACACAGGAAACACACTCAGTGGGTTGTGTCTGCAGTGTTCAGTCTGTTCAGTCAATCAACACAGGAAACACACAAGGTGGGCGGTGTCTGCAGTGTTCAGTCAACCAACACAGGAAACACACTAGGTTGGCTCTGTCTGCAGTGTTCAGTCTGTTCAGTCAACCAACACAGCAAACACACTCGGTGGGCTGTGTCTGCAGTGTTCAGTCTGTTCAGTCAACCAACACAGGAAACACACTCGGTGGGCTGTGTCTGCAGTGTTCAGTCTGTTCAGTCAACCAACACAGGAAACACACTCGGTGGGCTGTGTCTGCAGTGTTCAGTCTGTTCAGTCAACCAACACAGCAAACAAACTCGGTGGGCTGTGTCTGCAGTGTTCAGTATGTTCAGTCAACCAACACAGCAAACACACTCGGTGGGCTGTGTCTGCAGTATTCAGTCTGTTCAGTCAACCAACACAGCAAACACACAAGGTGGGCTGTGTCTGGAGTGTTCAGTCAACCAAACACAGCAAACACACTAGGTTGGCTCTGTCTGCAGTGTTCAGTATGTTCAGTCAACCAACACAGCAAACACAGAAGGTGGGCTGTGTCTGCAGTGTTCAGTCAACCAACACAGCAAACACACTCGGTGGGCTGTGTCTGCAGTGTTCAGTCTGTTCAGTCAACCAACACAGCCAACACACTCGGTGGGCTGTGTCTGCAGTGTTCAGTCAACCAAACACAGGAAACACACTAGGTTGGCTCTGTCTGCAGTGTTCAGTCTGTTCAGTCAACCAACACAGCAAACACACTCGGTGGGCTGTGTCTGCAGTGTTCAGTCTGTTCAGTCAACCAACACAGCAAACACACAAGGTGGGCTGTGTCTGCAGTGTTCAGTCAACCAACACAGGAAACACACAAGGTTGGCTGTGTCTGCAGTGTTCAGTCTGTTCAGTCAACCAACACAGCAAACACACAAGGTGGGCTGTGTCTGCAGTGTTCAGTCAACCAACACAGGAAACACACAAGGTTGGCTGTGTCTGCAGTGTTCAGTCTGTTCAGTCAACCAACACAGCAAACACACAAGGTGGGCTGTGTCTGCAGTGTTCAGTCAACCAACACAGGAAACACACAAGGTTGGCTGTGTCTGCAGTGTTCAGTCTGTTCAGTCAACCAACACAGCAAACACACAAGGTGGGCTGTGTCTGCAGTGTTCAGTCAACCAACACAGGAAACACACTAGGTTGGCTGTGTCTGTAGTGTTCAGTCAACCAACACAGCAAACACACTCGGTGGGCTGTGTCTGCAGTGTTCAGTCTGTTTAGTCAACCAACACAGGAAACACACTCGGTGGGCTGTGTCTGCAGTGTTCAGTGTGTTCAGTCAACCAACACGACAAACACACTCGGTGGCCTTTGTCTGCAGTGTTCAGTCTGTTCAGTCAACCAACACAGCAAATACACTAGTTGGGCTCTATCTGTAGTATTCAGTCAACGAACACAGCAAACACACTAGGTTGACTGTGTCTGTAGTGTTCAGTCTGTTCAGTCAACCAACATAGCACACACACAAGGTGGGCTCTGTCTGTTGTGTTGAGTCAACCAACATAGCACACACACAAGATGGGCTCTGTCTGTTGTGTTGAGTCAACCAAACACAGCAAACACACTAGGTTGGCTGTATGTGTTGTGTTCAGTCTGTTCACTCAACCAACACATCACACACACAAGGTGGGCTCTGTCTGCAGTTTTCAGTCATGAGAATGCCACCTTGACGACAACATTTGGATTTTCCGTTTCCAGCTTCAGTAATTTTTAAGGTACTGCGGCGAGCGGAAACAGGCCATTATTAACTGAAACTATGTAGACAGGCCAACGCTCCGGGACTTCCGCGGGCAAACCGTCACTGTCTGACCAGACAATAACGCGAATGGTGTTGTCAGATTGTGGCGCGAATATCATGAGCATCGTTACCGACAAATCTCTGTTGTGAAGCAGCCGTTGCTAAACAGAAGGCCGATCCACTTTTAGAATGTTTCATCCTTCAGTGGAAGCATTCATGATCAAACATCACAAATGTCAAAATGCAGAAAACAATTCTTAAAAACCCTGTTTCATCATCAGCTACATTGTTTTCCGAAAAAAAGGTTTGCAAACGATCTTGCATCAAATGTAATATGTTCTTAAGTCTCCGAAAACTAAAGATATATGAATCAATCACTATCCATCCCGGTCAACATGTTAACCTAGCCACTATCCATCCCGGTCAACATGTTAACCATGCCACTATCCATCCCGGTCAACATGTTAACCATGCCACTATCCATCCTGGTCAACATGTTAACCATGCCACTATCCATCCCGGTCAACATGTTAACCATGCCACTATCCATCCAGGTCAACATGTTAACCATGCCACTATCCATCCAGGTCAACATGTTAGCCATGCCACTATCCATCCCGGTCAACATGTTAACCATGCCACTATCCATCCTGGTCAACATGTTAACCATGCGACTATCCATCCAGGTCAACATGTTAACCACGTCACTATCCATCCCGGTCAACATGTTAACCATGCCACTATTTATCCAGGTCAACATGTTAACCATGCCACTATCCATCCAGGTCAACATGTGAACCACGTCACTATCCATCCAGGTCAACATGTTAACCACGTCAATATCCATCCCGGTCAACATGTTAACCACGTCATTATCCATCCCGGTCAACAAGTTAACCACGTCACTATCCATCCCGGTCAACATGTTAACCATGCCACTATTTATCCAGGTTAACACATTAACCAAGCAACTATTCATCCCGGTCAACATGTTAACCATGCCACTATCCATCCAGGTCAACATGTTAACCACGTCACTATCCATCCCAGTCAACATGTTAACCATGCCACTATTTATCCAGGTTAACACATTAGCAACGCCACTATTCATCCCGGTCAACATGTTAACCATGCCACTATTCCTCGAGGTCAACACATTAGCCAGAGGCACTTCTGTACCTGGGTTCAGTGTATAGGCTAGTTTTGCGAAAGTTAATTGTAATGTATAACTTGCTTTCATTTCAACTATACACACAACGTTTTAAGGAAATAAATTCCTTCAAGCGCAGAAAATCAATTTAGTGGGATATATAGGTTGAGACTTGATTCCAAATGTTTGGAGAACTACGAGTCGTAGAGGTTACTATAGCAACGTGGTACTGAAACGCTGTTGCCAGATGCTTACGCGTACGTAATGGCCACAGCTGTCATTCCCCACTCACCGGCTCCTCTCATTAACTGCGCGTGCGGGCTGATGCAAGGACCAGTCGTGTGCACAGAAAAACACATAGTGCATTTATCGATAGGAGACATTTGATAACTGCCTTCGTACGTGTATGGATTCAGCCAAAGACAGAATGATAACCGGTGAATGAGCTTGAACCTATCCTAAATCGTTCAACTTGTTTGCAGGCTGAGAGAGATCCGCCTCGTTGCTTACCTCTCGACAACCTTTACAGACTGACAGAGGAAGGAAAGTTGTTTTTCCTGACACGACCCGTTAACCGTCAAATCTGCTAATTTCTTCCTACTCGCTGGTCTGTATCTGATGTTACAGGGAGACATTGGCAACAACAGACCTCAACACATTTAAAATGCATGCCGACAGAGAGCCACCATAATAAGGCTGCGCGTCTCACAACACTGCTTCCCCAACAACAAGCCGTTACTCCTGTCTGCTGAAAGAGGCCCACCTTACTGTTTTCCCAACAACAAGCTGTTAGCCTCGTCTGCTGAAAGAGGTCCATGATACTGCTTTCCCCACAACAAGCTACTACCCCTGTCTGCTAAAAGAGTTCTGGCAAACAGCTTTCCCGACAACAAGCTACTACCCTGTCTGCTAAAAGAGTTCTGGCAAACAACTTTCCCCACAACAAGCTATTATTACCCTTGTCTCATAAGAGAAGCCCGCGATACAACTTTCCCAAATACCAGCTATTACTCCTATCTGCCAAAAGGGCCAACCAAACAGATTTTCCAGCAACAAGCCGCTATTCCTGTCTGCTTGGAGAGGCCCAACATACTGATTTCCTAACAACAAGCTGTTATCCCTGTCTGCTAAAAGAGGTCCACTACACTGCTTTCCCAACAAGCTGTGGCCCCTGTCTGCTGAGAGAGACCCAAGTACCTTACTGTTTTCCTCTGTCTGATCAGAGAGGCCTTTTGTTATGGCAGATTGAAGTATCAAACCTCAAGCGAAACTCGACATGTGAAACTCGACAGGATATGATATCATGTCGAATTAACAACATGTGGAGCGAAATTGGGAATATTCGTCAAACGAATATTATAGGTAACAGCGTATAAATAAGTGTTACTGTTTTATAATATCAAGTTTACTTATTTTAAATTCCGCTGTATTTTGCATCACTGAAGAAAAGATATCACCCACAAAATCATGCGTGCATGTTTGAGAATGATATCCTGTCAACGTGTCTACCCCATCCCTTTGAAATACGCCCTGAAGCAACAACGACCCTTCCACAACAATTTTGTTGGCAGTCCGCCAAGGGATGGGCCGAACTAAAAATAGCTGAAACTCGCTTGGGACGTAATCTCAGTTCTTCGGGATCAGGTGGTGTACTGCGCAGGCGTTGTGCATTCGGTGACCTACTTTAGTAAAGTGCAGACGTCAGACGTACTCAGGTGACGAAGCACCAGTGACGAGGTGACGATAACTGTCGGTGAGTTGTCTCCAGATACAGCCTATAGCTACAGTTGCTGCCACGTAGGGTGCCTCGCCTTCGATCGTCACTGACTGGTGTGGTGTGCCTTTCAGCAAAGGCATGGATTGGGCCGAAATGCCGAAAATATATTTTCTTCCTGTTTTCCGTGCGTAAACCAGCGAGTTTAACCAGGAACAACCATGTTTTCATTACATTGCTGTGTAAATGGTGGGATCATGTTTCGCACATAGTAGTCCCGTGAACGTAAGAGACTCAAGATGACATTTTTTTCATTATCTCTGCAATTATGTGTTAGGTGTTCATGCATCTCATGTCAATCAATGATATACTGATCGATCAATGATATACGTACCATACGTCACGTGCCCTGTTTTCAATGATCTAATGTGACATTCAGTTACATAAACATGTTCGTATGACATCATAAGTGCTGGGTCGATAGCTACACCTAATAGCGAAGCACCGTTGCTGGTCTTGCTGCGTGTTACGTAACAGCGACGTGACCATCACGTGGAGTGACGCACGCATCGACTGATTGCAGTACGTGTCCATCGGTTCAAGAGAGACGTGAGACCCATACAGTGACGGGAACCCGATTAGAGTTTCGAGTGACAAGTGTCAATAATACGTGTTGGCTTGGCTAATGAAATAGTCGTTGGAGTTTGGGGGCCGTTTCGAGTAATGTTATTCATGCTGCCATGTTATGAAATATTTCCCCTCTAAAGGGAACTCAAACGGTTCCGGCTTTCGCATTGGTTTCTCTTGTCATGTATGATTATTGGTTAGACTTGTCACAACACGCACAATAGTACTGCGCTCGATTATTAAAAAGGTTGAATGCCAACTGAGGTTACTCCATTTCTAGTAAGAAGCGTTGACTACATTCAATTTGAGTTGACCAGTGTTAATCAAGGAAAAATATTACAAATAAAAGGTATAAAAAGCAAACCTCAGATATAATACAAAATGGCTGCCAGGAGAAAGAAACACAACAGCCACGTGTATTGGTTTAACACATAATTATGAGAGGTTAACGAGTGTTTCATTACTTGACAAAGCTATGATGGTACCAGTTCTATTTAAAGCATGTAAAACGACAAGAAAGTTCAACAACGTTTAGAACATAAAACAGAACAGAGAGCTCATCATCAGATTGGCATCATTGATTCTAAAGTATTAATCAGTGTATAAAGTATATATCAATACCTAGTTAATTATATTCATTATAATGCTGATATTCATGCACCATAACCGTGCTCGTGGGTTTCATCGAAGTGGTAAACGTCTGAGACCTGCACAATCTCATTAAAATCAGATATTAGTTCTCGCTATCACGAAACAAAGATCTGAGGACATCCCATTACGGGTCACGTCAGAACGACCTTTCATCCGACCAATCAAATCGTCGTTTACCAGATCATGAAAGTGACAGTCGGAATGTGTTTTCTAATCAGCAACCTCGAAAACGTTAACACGGGGTATTCCGAACGACAGTTACGGCCCGTACGACTCGTTCCGTCAAAATTATCGTCAATCTATCGCTTCCGTGGGATAAACATTTGAACGGAGTAGTCGTTGCACAGTACGTGGGAAGCACTGCCATACACTCGCAACCATATATTAGACATTCCGTAATGTTCGTTTGTTCGGTTTTCAAAATTTTAATCGAGAACTGTGTCAACATATCTTTCAAGCGTAGTCTGAAATGGAAGTCTCCAGGTTAAAACGAGTGCCGTAAAGCTCGAGAAAGCTGCTTCCTCATTGGCTGATGTTGACCTCTTGTTAGTCATTTCAGTGGACGGTCGAAGTTCGCGAAAGGTCGTTCTGACGTGACCCGTAATGGGATGTCCTCAGATCTTTGTTTAGCCGAAGCGAGAACTTAGATCTGGTTTTAATGAGATTGAGACCTGCACCACCTCGGGCTTTCCTCCCACATTTAGCTGACACGCCGTGATATAACTGGAATACTGTTAAAAGCTTCGTTAAACCCTACTCACTCACTCATTTATTTTAATGATTGAATCAATGAACTTAAGGATGACGTCACTTGAAGGCTGCCAACCGGAGTACCGCACCCGTGGTTATTGGTCAAGCAAAGTTTTTTTTGGTTAAACTTTGGTCAACACGGGTTCACTTGGGTCGTCCAGGGTTTTGATATCGATATTACATCAAATGTTTTCTACCATAGTGTCCTTTGTATGAAAAACCGCATTTCACAGCACTGTCGGCGTGACCCTCTCCTTGGGCTATAAATAGAACAGTAGATGACTCACGAGATTTGTGCGACAACGATATGTCTGCGCAATTACTACTCGTTGTGGGGCGCTATCGTCTGCCAGTTGGTGACCTACTTTCAGTGAAGGCTGACGTAGCGGAAGCGTCGTAGTGACGTGGAAACAGATCGCAACTGGCCAGTCTGGGTTGTGGGTAAGATACTATATTATGTATGGTTATCGGCGCAGCAGCTGGGACGCTACTCCGACCGGTGTGTGTATATGCTATGTCCTCGTGATCTTCCTCAACACATGCGGAGTCAATGATATACCAGTCATGTGTCTGTGTAGGTTAACGTAATCGCGTATCCGAGTATATCCAAAATAATCACGTGTCCAAGTATATCCCCATTAATGACGTGTCCGAATACATTTAAAATAATCACGTGTCCAAGTACAGCCCCAATAATCACGTGAACGAATACATTCCAAGTAATCACGTGTCCGAATACATTTCAAGTAATCACGTGTCCGAGTATAACCCAAGTAATCACGTGTCCGAGTATATCCCAAGTAGTCATGGTCCGAGTATGTCCAAAGTAATCACGTGTCCCAGTATGTCCCCAATAATAACGTGTCCGAATGCATTTCATGTTAATCATGTAACGGGCAATCTTTACTTCATGTCAAATTCCCTCGCTGTCGGCGTGATCCTTTCCTTGGGCTATAAATAGAACAGTGGATGACTCACGAGATTTGTGCGACAGCGATATTGCTGCGCAATTACTACTCGTTGTGGGGCGCTATCGTCTGCCAGTTGGTGACCTACTTTCAGGGAAGGCTGACGTATGTAGCGGAAGCGTCGTAGTGACGTGGAAACAGATCGCAACTGGCCAGTCTGGGTTGTGGGTAAGATACTATATTATGTATGGTTATCGGCGCAGCAGCTGGGACGCTACTCCGACCGGTGTGTGTATATGCTATGTCCTCGTGATCTTCCTCAACACATGCGGAGTCAATGATATACCAGTCATGTGTCTGTGTAGGTTTGCGTAATAGCGTATACGAGTATATCCAAAAAAATCACGTGTCCAAGTATATCCCCATTAATGACGTGTCCGAATACATTTAAAGTAATCACGTGTCCCAGTACACCCCCAATAATAACGTGCCCGAATACATTCCAAGTAATTACGTTTCCGAGTATATCCCAAGTAATCACGTGTCCGAGTGTATTCCAAGTAATCACGTGTCCGAGCGTATCCAAGTTAATCATGTGACGGGCAATCTTGGTCACAGATAAAAAAATGAACTTGTCCGACATTGCCGAGGTCGTATTGTGTTCAGGGCGTCATCATTATTCAAATGCGTGTGAATGTTTCTGAAGCTTGTAAATTTTATCAACATTCTAAGGGAGTTTGTAAATAATGTTGATGTCTCACATACGAAATAAACGACTCGTGGTCATTGTTTGTCAAACAGTAAAACACTGCAGGGACGATAAACCACTGCGTCCCTCATGTTTTATTCTCCCTGCAGTGTTTTATTTACGATAACAAAGACCACGAGTCGTTTATGTCATAAATATATCTATAACGTGTCCAACTGTCCGTGTATATTCAAAGTATGTGTGTGTGTGTGTGTGTGTGTGTGTGTGTGGAGGGGGAGGGGTATCTAATATCGACTCGATCCGTGTCTTGACCGACGGTGACAGTCTACGTTATCATCTATTTGACACATCTTTACAATCAACTTTCAATGATCGCCAATTGATCAATGATGACTAACACAGGTAACCGTCACAGGTTCATTTACAACTTCGGAAATCCCGCCCGTCACGTTAATCGTGTCGGCCATTTTGACGCCGTGTACTTGTTGTAAATGTACATGTATTACAACGCGTTGTTATTGTGACTGGCATAACATAGAACTACTGGGGTAATTGTATAGGACCTTTCTCATCTAATGATGATATTAACTTAATACATTTATTGAAAAGAAACAACAAAAGATGTTCCTGTAGAGCAAGTTGAACATACATACGCTCATGTCACCTTTCTTTTTGAGGAACTACTTCATTCCGCGACAGGGGCGGTCGGGTAGCCTAGTGGTTAAAGCGTTCGCTCGTAAAGCCGAAGACCCAGGTTCGATTCCCGACATGGGTACAATGCGTGAAGCCCATTTCTGGTGCCCCCCGCCGTGATATTGCTGGAATATTGCTAAAACCGGCGTAAAATCAAACTCACTCACTCACTCATTCCGCGACAGAGCTGGCTGTATGTTTAAACAAGTAGTGTCACGTACTAAATACAATTGTGTGTAGATCTACATCCTTTCAGGTAAAAAGTAGTGATGTAAAAATATTATAAGGAGTGACTTTAGCTTTGTGTGAGCTCATTGGAGTATTAACCTTCATAGAGTGAGGGCCCAAATGAAGGTCAGTTCTGTAATATGAAGTAGACAACCTGTACCCGAGTCTATTCTGGGTGCTCAACTGCCCGAGTGCATGAGCATCCATGTATGTTCCATGTACTAATATGTCCATGTAAATGCAAGCTTCACGTGGCTGAGTGTAGTCAAGTATGGTAATCATGATAACACGTGGAGTTCAAAGTGCATTGCACGTATCATGCAACAGTTCAAGTTCAAAGTTCATGGCACGTGTCTAGTTAGCATGTGAAGTTCAAAGTCCATATTGCGTATCATGGTACAAGAAATGAAACTCCCAATAGTGATTGTCTTCTGCTCATGCCTACAGACGTTAGGGAAGAGATTCATTCGTGC